GTTATGAAGAAAAATCAAAAATATTGAATTTAATTCAAAAGAGCAGTAAAAAATTGAGAATAAAACTTAAAGATAATTTTTATTTTTTAAAAATTACTATTGTTATTTTGTAAACACAAAACTTTAACCTTGTAATCAATAATAATAATAATAATAATAATAAATAATTATATTACGATTACATGAATATAAATGTGATGATTGATCGACACTTTCTCTATAACGAACAAAAGTTCTCGGGACAGGGAGTTCGTTATAGAGAGCTTTGACTGTAGTTCGTAACGATTAATTAAAAAACAATATATAGTTATAATAAATACAGAAATAAATAATTATTAAAATCTATTATAGTAATGGTGACCACTTTTTTTCAAAAATAGTTTCAGCCACCACCGTTATGATCATTATTTAGAAAAAAAGATTAAGTTTATGCATCGATTTCACTAATCTTTTAAAAGTTCTATATTAATAACAATAACAAGTTAATACTTATAAATGAAATAATTTTTAAATTAATGCTAATTCTAACGTGGGACATCTTTAAAATCATCAATTTAACAATCTAGAAATTTTTGGATTGGTGGTGAGATTTTTATATCATCTTTATATATTGAATTCTTAATTTCCTAATTATAGAATATCAGCATATTATGATCCAATGCAATAATAATTATGGTAATGATAAAAAAACATTTACTTTTTTTATAATATTTCCATTGCCTGAAAAGTGTGGAAGCACATTAAATGAATGCAAACAATCAACCCTGGTGATATATTGTAGCAATAATGGATAAGTTAATTAACTTAAACAATTTTATTAAACATTCTAAAAATAAATAAATATTCATCTTTTATATGTCTTAAATAAAACAACATGACTTAGCTATTTAATCATTTTCTTGTATGTGAATGGCATCCATCAAATATTCATTGATGGTCATGATTATTATTCAATACAGTCGAACTCTCGTTTCAACGGATTTTTGGTTTTACCCCTTGATTATATTAATTAAAAAATTCTCGTTTCAACGGATTTTATATTTAAATCGCGTTTCAACGGACAACGGATTTTTTGGTAGGATTTTAGTAACAAGTACTAATCGCGTTACAACGGATTCACGTGATATAGATTTTATAAAAAAAAAATCACTATGTTAAGATTAATTCATTGCTAAATAATAATATGAATAATTCTCACATTACTATTACTAAATAATAATATTAATCAAAATTTTCCATATTTCTAAATAATGATTTTACACAAATAATTAAACACACATTACTAAATAATAATATTAATCAAATTTTTCATATTTCTAAATAATGATTTTACACGAATAATTAAACACACATCACTAAATAATAATATTAATCAAATTTTCCATATTTCTAAATTGATAATAAATAAATATCTTCTAATAATTCTACATAATCAACATTTTCTTTGATTTCTTTAAATTAATAAATCTCTAAATTCTACGAAATTAAAATGTCTCAACAACTATCTTCTTCTCCCCAAAAACGTGAAAAAGCTTTTGAAACTGCTTTTAATTTTCTTGAACAAAATAATATACAACCAGATTATAATGAGTTAAAAGCTTTAAAATCATTAAAAAAAAACAATAAAATCATATAGTATTCAAAATTCAATACAAACAAACATTACTGGTTTTTCAGTAAATAATTGACTATTAATTACCATTTAATTTTTTGTAAATTTTACTGTATTATATCAAGTATTATTATTATATTCAAAATTTACGAAAATTTTATTATTATTAAAATTTTCCTGTTGATCCTGTAGATCATTATCTCGTTTCAACGGATTTAGGTGGTCAGTCCCATAGATCCGTTGAAACGAGGTTTGACTGTATGTTTGATGTTATCATTGACATAACAAACAATTGCATCACCCAAGTAGTAATAACATCAAGGCCATTTAAAATGAAACTTTTAATAAATGCATGTCTACCCAGATCACTGGAATTCACAAAATAATTATTCTTCCTGATTATCAATTATGGTTCCTTATGAATAATAAATCTGACGTTGATCACAGATATCAGATTTAATTAAAATTTTCCTGTCACTAACATGCGCTATGTAATTAGACATCATTCAACACTGTAAACTTTTTTTCACAGAAGAAAGGACTTGAACAAGTTGGAAGGCTTTGGACAAAACTTTCCCCTATCTTCCTCTCAGACCAGGCTTGGCTGTTACCATATAGGCATTGATAACTGGCAAAGATCAGCATTTGTGTGATGATTGCTTTGTGTTATTGCTAGAATAAAGTTGGTGTCTACAAATGGTTCAAAATCCTCCAATTTGGAAGGTTGCAACTTGGGAAGTTGCTGTCTTGGATTTTCCCTGTATTCGGAGTTTTGAGTCCTGGATTGCTGTCTTGTTGGTGGCATGCCTGCTCACCAACAACCATACCCTATTTAAATAACAAGTTCAGTTGGTAAATAAAAATAAAGAGAAACAGAGAATTTATGAAAATGATAAATTTATATATAACATACAAACAGATCTAAACCATTTTATTTTACAGCTTTCACTTTGATGCCAGTGATCATGGTGACTATCACAATAGGAGTGGGCAGAATCAAACTGCCACCTTTATACTTGTAAGATACATGCTCTCATTGAGCTACATTCCTTTAACCTAAGGTGAGTTACGTGGGCAAAAGCCCCCATTTAAAAACAAGTTCAGTTGGTCAAAAGAAACAGAAATTTGGGAAAATAATTAATTTATAATTTAACATACCAAATAAAATTCAAACCATTTTATTTTACAGCCTTCCTCCTAACATCAGAGCACAAATGCAATTTCAGGGCTACCAACCCTGCACTGAATTGCAATTGAAACAAGTTGAAGATTCTTGTTGCTTTGATGGATCTGGATGTTTACATGGCACTACAATTCATCAGCAGAGTTGCAACTTGGTCACAGTGCCATCCTTACCCTAGAGGTAGGATTTTTGCAGGAAATTTTTCAGCCAGCATGCCAGCAGCCTTCTCTGGTCTGAGAAAATTAGTGAAAATGTCATTCACAATTGATGCAGTCTCAATAAATTCCAGAACCACGTCCCCCCTGAAAATTTAACAACATCATTGTATCATCGGAGCACACTAGTCTGATTAACCTTTTGTCACAAGGAATGTGTAAGAATGACTGTAAAGTGTTCAGATAACATGCATGCTTAAATGTCTGCCAATTTCCGATAATCAAACATCTCATATTTAAATTGTTTCTTTTTCAACGGTGTGCTGTCTTGACATCTTGTAATTATATATTTACATTAATATTAATATTGATTACGCAAAGCAAAATACCAATTGTTCATTTGTCACCTTGGACTCAAATAGATTGTTTTCCCAAAAAAAAAATCAATTGTGTCAACAAAAAAAAATCTGTGCAATATTCAACCCTTCAGGACATACTGTCACGAACATATTCTCAAGAACAAGAGCTTTCGAATGATACAAAGACTACAATATTTTAATTAGTATAGTTTTGAAATAAATTGAAAATATATTTTAGACGCAAACTTTTGTCCACCAAGTGTAGATATTACAATCATTGATGATGATGTAAATGTGGGAGGAGAAAGTGATAAAAGTGATGATGAAGATGAAAATGAGGGTGTTGATGAAGATGAAACAATTAGAATAGAAAATAGTGAAGAGTGGTATTGAAAATATATTTAGTTTTCTTTTTTTTATGGAATTTAAAAAAAATAAATATTTTTTTTAAAAAAAAAATGCATTAAATTTGAACGGCCTTATAAATTACACCATTTATTTAGTTTTATTTCATATAAATTAACTTTTACATCACAAAATAAATTTTATCAGAACATCATCTAATTAAATATTTTCATTAAAAAAAAATTAAAAGTAATAGTAATGTCATCTAAAAGATTCCATGGTAGAAAAAATAAAGAATTCGTACCCGAGATTGCTGAGTAAGTGTTTATTAAAAGAATGGCGGTGATGGTTATCACGACTTGTCGTTACTCTAGTTAAATTGAATTGTGTTAATTATTTATATTTATTTACGACTATACCATTTTCAGAAGGATCAAAAAGAAAAAACATATATGATGTTGAAGAAAGTGATGACGAGCATGAAGATTCTGAGGACGATGAATATTCCGAAGATGAAGACGAAAACGTATGGAAAACAGTTAATTTTCGGTATGTTTTATACTGAAACATATTGATATTGAAAGCGTTCATAAAACATACTAATATACGGAAAAAAAATGCTAATAATAAAGAATGCGTAATAAGTTAATATTCCATGACGGAAAAATACTATATTTTCTGTATTAGTATTAGCATGTAAAAACAGGAAACATACGGAAAACAACATTCTGAAAATGTTTTTTGTAAAGTGATTAGTATTAGCGTCGTCACATTTGACATTTTTTCTATTAGGAATCACACTAAATTATACTATTTATTGTATATAATAAAATAACAAAATAACAAATATTTGATAAAACATCATATAATAAAAACCATTAATGTTTTTTACGATAGCAACAACCCTTCACACAGCAATTTACCTATTTATGAGTGGGCAACAATAAATTGGACAGCAATATGTAGAGATGTGCCATTCATAGTAACCGTGATTTTTTTTCACGCCTAGTGCGTATAGTGCGATGGTAGCATAGCGCGCATAGTGCGCATAGTGTATATATATATATCATAGGGAGGGAAATATCATACAAAAAAATAAAATTCATTAAATAGAAATATTCTGTGAAAATTCAAAGACATGCTTCTTTTTTTTATGATAGTTTCGTTTGTTAATAACGTTGTTTTTATATATTGAAATTCAAGGGTGGATCCATAAATCAATTATTTTTGAAACGATGCATTTATTCAATAAGTGGTGTTGCATTATTTATTTTCTTTTTTAACGCAGCTTACATAATATATATAAAATAAAATAAAAATAATAACAACGTTATAGAATTTAACCTCTACCACCTTTTATAACCACCTCGTGCCTTGATAACATCATGGATTCGTTCTGGCATAGAATGGATTAGGTTGGTGCAAGTTTCAACATCAATTCAAACCAAACCTGTTGTATCTTATTCCATTAATCCTCCTTGCCCGAAATTTGCCAGGGAGATACCTGAGGCAACGATCAACTCATTCCATAGATGCTCTATGGCATTAAGGTCCGGGGATTGGGAGCCAATCCAAGATCTTTATTTTATTATTTTTAAGCCATCGTTTTGTTGAATTCACCGCATGCTTATGGTCTCCATCCTGTTGGAATATGACCTCTTTGACATTAAATCCATGATCTTTGATAGTATTCATAAGATCTCCATGAAGTATCTGTTGATGCAATTTGGCATCCATCATGCCATCAATCCTACAAAAGCCACCAACACCCCGAGATGTAAAACAGCCTCATATCATCACCGACCCGTCCCCAAACTTCACTGTAGGCTTAATGGTTCCTCTGGACGGTTCAAATAATATTGCTTCCCATCTGATCCAAAGATCTTAAACTTAGACTCATCGGACCATATAATCTTTGACCAGTCTTCGATAGTACAATCATCAGGAAATTAATTTAGCGTAAACTTGCATAAATCTTACGATGCCGACGTAATATTGTGTAAATCTTACAGTGCCGACGTAAGTTTTACACTTTTTTATTATTAAACTTACAATTGACACGTGTAAAATTTTTTTATATTTTCCGGATGATGTTCATGTTCTTTTGCAAATTCTAACCGACGCTTTCGGTGTTTACTGCTGAGGTAGGGTTTTTTTCTCTTAATTCTTGATACTAAACCATTTGCATGAAGTATATGACGAATGGTAGGCGACGAAATACTAATATTTTCTTTTTCTTCTATAAATTTTGGACCTCTGGAGCAGATGAGCACCTTCGCGAAGTGATGAGATTAACAATTTTATTTTTATTAGTTCATTTATAGTAGATGGTCGACCTGATTTTGGTGCATCTTTGAGGGAGTGTTGTTCACGCCATCTTTTATTAATACGAGAAACTGTTGAGGGGCTAATATTTGTTGACTTTGCTATTTGCCTTGTAGTATGTGGGTCTGGGACACTTTGCCGACAACACGCGGGGTTACATTTAATCTCTACACAATCAAACAAACTAACAAAATGCTAAAATATCACGTCGTGTGTTGTCGGTAAAGTGTCTTGTCTGTAAAGTGGGTGTCGGTAAAGTGTCCGAGTCCGGTAGTGGGTCCATTTTGAAGAGAAAGAAGAATTTGGACTCTTTCTTCCGGAGTTGTATGAGGCTTTTTTGTCTTGGCCTTTTTACTAAAAAGTTGTAACAATGGGCATGGCATGTAAACAAACGCAAAAAAATTTCCTTTCATATAGCACGACTATGAGCCCCTGATTCTTGTATAAACGATCATATATAATGCAACACACGTTTCGTACTGATCACATTTTTATTCAAAGATTGGACATAGAAATAATTATTGAAATTTATATATATATAAATTACATTATTACAAACAAAACTATCAAAAAAAATTACATATATTTCTGAGTTTTCGCAAAATATTTCAATTTAACAAATTTTATTTTTTTGTTGCGTTATTTATGATCGCCACTGTAAATGCGCATATAATAATAAGAAATTAAATGGCATATTTAATTTCTTTTTAGAAATGTTTATTAATAAGTAAATGTCTATAAACAATATATCTAAAACCTTATGCGTAACACACTATGAACGGTACATCTCTAGAAATATGCATAAGTATATTTGCTGCAATATCCTCCGGGACAATAACTACCTGGAGACTGAATGTCAACAACGGTACTGTTTAAAGAAAGAGTAAATCCGGCTTCTGTTATCTCTGTATGATCCTCGAGTGGTACACCGAAAGGTGTTAAAAAGTTAAATGACATAATCACGAAGATGAGGATCATAAAATTTTTCATGATTTTAGGTCTTTTTTTTTAAAAAAATTATTATTACGTGTGGAAAAGTAGACGTAAATGATTTATTAAAAAATATTAATTGATTAATTAATTAATATTAATTTTAATTTGATTTTAATCGTATAATGAAAAAAAAATCAGACAAAGATTTTTCAAATGCACACATTTAAAGACTTGTATAGTGCACGCCACAATAACCCATCAAATAAAAATTGACCAACTTTAAACCTAAAAAGAAAATATTGTGTGCTTATCAAAAATTATTGAGATGATATTTGATAGCTTTTGACTAGTTCTACAAATCTATCGTCGAGGCAATTAAAAAATAATTATTGGTTCAGGAGTTATAAGCTTTTGAAAATCATGTAATTTTTATGTTATACGTATATAAAACTTTACATGTAATTTTGGCCCACCTTAAGTCATACAAAATAGATTTGTAATTCTGGTAAATCACGCGATATAATTCATCCATAAAATTAAAACGTTTTTTTTTTAGTCAATAAATCTTGCATTGAATTTATGAATATAAAATAATCACATTCAAATTTTTTTGTTTAAAATTTCTCTTGAAGGACCTTTGACTTGTTATGCTAGACATAACTTAGCAATTCAAGATGATTTTAAAAACCAAAAACCCTTACTTCAAGAATTAATTGAAGAAAGGGGACATAAAGTCATCTTCTATCCAAAGTTTCACTGTGAGCTTAACTACATTGAAATGTATTTGGGAGCTACTAAATGATATGTTAGACAACATTGTAACTACACATGGGAAGGTCTTCAAGAGAATGTCCCCAATGCTTTTGATTCTATACCACTGAAACAAAATTAGAAAGTATGGTGAGAGCCTCAAGATTTACGGATTGTTACAGGAAAGGATTAACAGTACTACAGGCTGAATATATTGTAAAAAAATATGTCACATAGAAGGATTCCAGACAATGTGATTCAATAAAAAAAAATCAAATTTTTTTTGTGAATTTGAAACATATTGCACAGCATTTGATGGGTTATAGTGGCGTGCACCGTACAACCTGTAATAGTAGAATGATATTTCCATAATAATAATAAACGGTTACAGGAAACAGTCAGCCTTATTACTAAAAAAAAAACAAATTTTTAATTCCACGAATTTGAACATGATACATTTTTGGAGAAATCATGGAATTTTAAATTACAGACCAGATTTTTTACAAGGCAGGATACCTCCTCTCAATTGTTTAAAGTGCTTGATAATATAAATAAATGTCCAACTTATCGAGTTTACCTGTGTAATTGTTATCGGTATTGTAAATTCCAGAATAGACAATAGTGAGATGGATAATTATTTAAATGAAATAGGGAGCCATGAAAACGATAATATTATCATATGCAATTACTATGTTTGTTTAGTTTCATTTAGTTGAATAAAAATTTTTGTTTGTTTTGAATTGAAAAATGATAATCATAATAATAAGAATAAAAACGTTTACCTACTTTTAATAGTGCATGCTTGCCAATGGCTGCTGTCAGTTCAAAAAAATTTGTTACGGCCAATTTTTTATTTTAAAAACTTTCTATACAGTATATCAAAAGTTATAAGGTTTAATCAAATTATTTCAATTGTTTCAAGAGTTATTATGTTCAGTACGCCAGCTAACAATTTAAAAAACACAAATAGTTTCACAAATATATTTTTGATATTGTTACTCGATCGCTGTAATAAGCAATAATAATCAACTCACGAAAAATAATTCTAAATTGTAACAGACCTTTAATTCTCATAAACAAACGAATTTAAATTAATTGTTCACTCTATAAATAACTTGAAAATAATTCTAGATGGAATGTTCGAATTATACATTTAATTAGAACAAATTAAGAGTTCTAGGAGATGATTGAACCTTTTAACAACGTTATAATGTTCTTAACTTCATATCTAATAAATTTCCCTTGTCCTTGTCCTTGTCCTTGTGATTGTCTTCGGATTTTATAAATCTATGAATTCATATTAACCCCGTGCATAATTAATTATCTCTTATTTTATACTTGTCTCTATTTTTTCTATTTTTTTTTTCTTTTAATGTGGTAATATTTAATAAATTCTATTTAGTGAAGTTTGGACACCTGCCAAGAAACGTGGTCAGTATATAGTGTGAAATCTAAAGAAGACATTGTTTGTATTGCTTAGCAAAGGAATTGTTTGACGATGGTGAAAGATGGTTTTGAGAGTAAGGCATAATATAACATTCGCGGAAATTATTGTTACGATTTAGTATAAATAAATCAATACTAGTCAATTAAAGTATACAGAATAGAAGTTTATTACAGAACTAATAAAGACATTATTTGTTATCTGATTTTGTTACAATGAATTTTTTGTTACATCGAATTTATTAATAGAATCGTATTACGTACAACGACACAAAATCAGAACCGGTTTTAATCAGGCAACCGATGATACTAGTGTTGATGATTCTAGTATTGATCCACATCATGCATTCAATGATATTTCCAATATTACATTACCATTTAAAAGATCAAAAACATAAATTTAAATGTCATTATATTCGGAAATAACTATTATCATTAAATACTCATTACTTCAAACAATTGTATTTTTAATATTTGTTTGTATTAATTGTATAACTATCCATTGGACAATGGAATTGAGTCCACATAATATCTATTTTTTATTAACAGAATTTAGAATTCCATTAATAAACTTTCATAATATCCTGATATTCAGAAGCAGTGAATATTTAATTAGAAAAGGATGATCGATATCAAGCTTAATCATTCATCTATTTCATTTATAGCTTCTTGTCTACCATGATACTTGAGAAATTGTTGGTTATATTCTAAATAAACCACATCTAAATGATGTAAACCATCTGGAATTGTTACACTATATACATTAAAATTTCGAATAAAATTAAGATAATCCGTTTCATAAATAAGGTTCGGAATGAATCAATGAAATTCGAAAAAAATCAAATAGAATTTTAGATTTGATTTGGTTTAATTTAATTCAAACTGACTCGAATATATAATTTGATTTGAACTAATTCAAATCTATAGCAATCGTTAGCATTCATTAGTTACATTATCATTATTTTTATCAATTAATAATATTATTATGGTAGCCGAAACTACCTTACTTAGTGGGCCGAAATTGCTGAAATTAATTGGCCTAAACTTGGCGAAACTAATTTTAATAGATGAACTAGAGAGTTTTTCAACTGTGCGAAAGTCAAAAGGTTCGCCACAAGTCGAAACTAGTTTTGACTTGCGACTTTTGACATAACTTTCAATTTTAGTTTGACTTTCGCCTCCTTCAAAAAAGTTTTGGCGACCAACAATATTTTAAATTGAAAATTAAGCGAATATAACACATATTTGGTCATAGACAAAGAAATCTGCAATGGAACAATAGGTGATGTTGCCAACCTAGATATTAGTCAGAATACTGTCGGGGTTGTTTTTTTGCATTATTTGTGGCGTGGTTGTGCCAAAGGATATTGCCATATTTTTTATCTAGGTGTTCTAATACTTACTAGTGAATAAAAATTTCGGAAATTCATAAATTTGAATTGTTTTTATTTAAAAAGCAACATGTAAATATAAAATTAATGACAATATTACATAATAAAATAATTAATAGAATATGTTGTAAGAACATTGTTTAATAAATAATAATAACTAATAATTAAATTATGCTTCTATACTATAACTTGCAAGAACGGAATCATAGTTAAAAGCTGCTACTTTAGCGGTACCACCAACCATAGCGCCTGCACAGCCTATAATATCCTCAGTTTTTGGATTCGCAACCATAACTAGAATAAGGTATTCTGCAGGTAATGCTGCTGGTGCAGGAACACTCAATTCTTGAGAAAATGGTGTTGTAGGGCTGGCTGGCGCACTAACTATTTCACCTATGATACTCTTAGTTGCAGGATCATAAAAACCAACACCGGTAAGGTCGCCATCGGCGACAGGACGACTTAGTGTTCCAGAAATAGTAAAAGCACTAGTTTGTCCAGCAACGGGAGGATCAGGTATAAATGCGACAGTAAGTTGAGGTGGTGCTGCATCTCCAGCCTTTAAAGCAGGACATTGGACAAATTGAGTCTCTCTTTTAAAAAGTTGATGTGGAATAGCATTTACCATCATGGAGAGCGTAGCAAATAAAAGGAAAGCAAAAATAAACTTCATGATTTCTTTTTTTTATTTGTATAAAATTTTATTTGTGAAGATGAGTTTTATTTGTGAGAATATAATTTATTTGTGAGAATAAATTTTATTTGAGAATAAATTTTATTTGTGAGAATAAATTTTATTTGTGAGAATAAAATTATTGATTAGAGTAAATCGAAATTGCTGCCTTTTTTATAAGAAACAAAGTTACCCAGACTAATTATATTTCATATTCACGGAAATAAGTAATTGTGGATTTAAAAAATAAATTTGACATTTCAGGTAAATGAGGGACCGACTACATATATCCTTTTTGATTTTAATCATTAGATTGAATTCAAACTACTTTAAAAAGACAATTTAGAAATAATAAAATAATAAAAACGGTAAGTTGGCAACAGTAATGAAATCTCAAAATAATCATATTAATTAATATGTTGAAAATTATTACGATTTTTGAATAACGTAATAATAACAATTATTATGTTAAAAAAAATTTTTTATCATTTATTGACGGTTTTTGAATAATAAACATTATGTTAAAAAACTGATGATTTTAAATAATAAACTAGATGAATGCTTTATGACAGTGACTTCGTCATTGGTGTTACTTGTTATTTACTGTTTTAAAGTTTCTATTCAAATAAAAGTTACTATTTGAATTATTTGTTGAATTACAAACAGAAATTTTATAAGAAAAATTTTGGCCTTAATATTTTTTTTGTGATACTCCGAATATAATTGTCCGAAGTCCCGTGTAACCTGTCGAAACTCTGCCGATTGATTTCTGGAGGAGTTTTGGCAAGCAACCATAATCACATCCTAAATATATCGCTATAATTTTCTTTTGATATCCTCGATTTTTAACAGTCGAGCTCAAGATTATGGGTTGAAAATACAATATTTAAATGAATTCATTCATAATAAATTTAATTATTTCATTTTGTAAAGGCTACTTCTTTGTTATCTATTTATTATTTGTTTATTTTTTAGTTATTTTTAAGTATGCATGCATGTAGATCGAAATTATATATGGAAATTAATATGTCCGCCAAATTGGTAGTTGAACTTTAATTATTTTAATTTTAATAGTCAGGAATGTATAATAAAACTTTTTAGTAATCAAAAAAAAAAAAAAAAAAGATGAAGGAAACCGTCACCTAATTTTAAAATATTGGTTATAAATTACTTTTCAATAGAGGTTTATTTGATAGTCATGTAGATAGAATTTTGAATTTCAAAATTTTTTATAATCATGCAGATAGAACTTTGAATTTCAAAATTTTTTATAATCATGCAGTTAGAATTTGTTAGAATTTGAATTTAAAATTTTTTTTTTGTTAGGATATCCCTATCAATCTATCTGTTTATCAACTCCACACATTCCATATAGCTTTGATAACGTATTGGTTAATAATATTTTGACGGTCGTGTAACAATTCGGATCCGGAAAAGAAAACGTTTGGGCGTTTGTACAGTATTATAATGTATAATATTTTTTTTTATTAAAGAAGAATGCCTAGTGTACAATTTTATATATATATTATTTGTTTAGTATGAAAAGGCGATATCTCTATCGCAAATACAATTCAACAAGAGCATAAGGCCAAAAGAGAACAGGTCGAAGATATTGTAATTAGTGGTAATAGTGCCTTTCCAATTATTGGAATTAATGTTCAAGATGAGTTGGTTGTGGAAAATGAGACAAGTGAAATAGATGAATTTTCTTTAGAAGATTACGCAAACTACAAAAGAAGAATCTGTGGGATATGCATTTCAATAAATGGTAAGGTTTTTGTCAACAAATAATATTCATCCAGAAATAGATATTGAAGTTAAATGAAATGTACGTAATATGTTTATTGGTGAATTGGAGACGTTATTTTTCTATTATTAGCATTGCCGATGAATGACAAATGATAATAAAATAAAATAAATATTCACTATTACAATAGTTGATTTGCCAGAATTGTTTTGGAGGAAAGTGATTATTATGGTAATAGTAATAATTGCAGAAAACTAAATATTATTATTATTATGTCTAGGAATGTAGTGTTCGGTTCATTTGTTCCGAAAAAAAAAAACATAATTTAGAATAAACTTGAATTTAGTAATAATGAATCATAAAAATTTCGTGTGAATTTAAATGCAAATGTTTATCTTTTTTTATCAATGCAAAAGATTGTTGCCCCATTTTTAAATTTTTAATTTTATTATTAATAAATAAAGTTGCACATATTATTATGTACAATTGAGCGACTATTTTAAATTGAGCATTTTTAAGCATACATGTTCGTATTAGTATGTGTGTTGTTTGTTCTTTAGTTTGGTGTTGTGTCCAACCAACATAGTTTTTTGATTTTGCTTCTCGAGTAGTCAAGAAGCCAATTGTGTAAATACAAATAATAAATTTAGTAACGTTTATTAAATAGATAAACAAGATACACCAAACTTGGATTAAATATCCAAAATTATGGCAGACACTGTCAAGTAAAATAAAATAAATTCAAGATACCAATAACATTAAAAGAACAAAATTTGATGCATTAGTAAAGCATGAAATATTACATCCATCATTAAATCCGAATGAACCTTTCTCTCTACAAAAAAAAGTAACCTTCTGGCTTCATATTTATGTAGTTTTCATGGAGGGGATCTAAAAAACTTAAAGATTCTTGGGTAATGTTATAATGGTTGTCAAGAGTATAGCTTTATCACTTTCCAGGTAAAGTATCGTACTGGTGGTCTTGGTAACATGGATAATGATGGACGGATTTGTGAAATATCAACAATAAATTTCAACCTGTACAAGACATAATACATTATAAAAACAGAAGGACAGCTCATTGTGAATGTCAAGTGTTTTCTTAAAATGGAAAATAAAGTTAACATTTAAAAAAGAAAATGGTTTTCAAATACAAAAATTTACTTGATAATCTAATTAAACAAATCTGTAAAGATTGTGACATTGATCTTGGTGAACGACACATAATCAACTATTCTATGAGAACAATTGTCATAATGCAATTAACAACTTTAGATGTTCCTGCTAATGAAATTTAAGTTCTTATCAAACTATTCCTAAAAATCAGATGCTTAGCAATGTATCGTCTTTAATCCATTCAGAATTATGTAATGAAGAGGGCGATGATTGACAGATAATATTGGGGTTTTTTATAAAGTTTGGTTAATTTTATGGTTTAAGGCAAGTTTACTTTATAAAAATAATAGAACCCTTTTTAGAGAAGTTAAGAGCCAAATATCTGATAATAATGCTTTGAAAAAGTCATTTAAATCCCTTCTGAATGAAAATTTCTCCAAATAACAAAAAACAAAATTTTGTCGATTCAGAATCACCAAGTAAAATTAGATTAGTCAGAAATCATATTGAAATTGATTATAATTAATAGCAATAAATTATTTTAATATGTGAAAGTAATCATTTATGCTTGTTTGTGTCGACAATGATGGTTCATCACTATTGTCATCATTATCATCATCATCATCATCATTATTATTCCGGATTAATTTCTATAATCTCTTTCTCATTTTTTCAAGATCAGATTTTAAATTTACCATATTAAAATAAATGATGATGACGTCGATGATGTTGATTTTGACAAACCCCCACCCGCCGCTATTACTATGAAAATATTGCGACGGAGGTAAGATATTCATTAAAATTTGTTATGTTTAGAATAGCCAGTTGGGGATAACTAAAATTAAACAGAATGTGAAGATATAAAAGAGCTATGCTAGTTTTGTAGGTGTATATTTTGTAACTTATTTAAAATAATTAAAAAATTATATGTAGTCTTACTCAGTTGCGAATTAATTTATTACTAAAAATTATTTGCTAACATCATGATCAATATTCTCACTCTGCAAAATAAAATGAATTAATAATTAATTGATCAATAGTCAATTAACTAATAGTCAATTTTTAAATTTACTCAGCTCATATTTTGCCATCAACAGCACAATCATTTTTTCGCCCAGATGTAATGAGTTATTTTCTGTGCCAAGAAAAGCATTTAATAATGCCCATACAAAACTTTTTGTTGGTCCCATTTACTTTTCCTCTATTACCAGAAAAGGCTTCTCTTGTGATATTTTCAAAGAAAGTCATATCATCATCCTCTTCAATCTCACATAAAGAGTCAAGGGTCTCCTTTGTTGAGTCATTGTCTTTCCACTGTCAATTTAAACTTTTATATTAATAATTTCATCTTTATATTATACAAAATTTAATAAAATATAATTAATATCATATATACCTCTAATATTTGGTTTATTGTTGCATCATGATTGATTTCTTCTAAATTCCGAAATTTTTGAAACAAGCTATATTTAATTTGTCTGATTGCATTACCCCTAGTTGTTCTAAACAATTCTAATGGCTAAGTTTATTAAGAAAAAAAAACTATCAATATTTTTCTAAAAATTTTACAACATTTTTTCTAGAGATAGGTTTAAGGTAAGTACTTACTACACCTCTCAGCTTGTACCAGACTTGTTCCCAATTGTCTTTGTCTTTATACATTCTTACTTCTGGAAAGCAATTTACTAAGACTCTATGAACAAAATTTTCAATATCTACATCTGCAGGATATTTTTTCCTAATAAATAGATCCCTTCTAAATGTCTCTTTAATAATTTTCTATAATAAATAATTGAGGTATTAACAAATTAACATTAATTATCTTAATTATTAAAATAGTTAAAATTTATTATGATTATATTTATACTTTAATGTCTTCTATTACTTGATAAGTGTTATTATTATGATTATTATTATGATTATTATTATAGTTATATCATTGTGGTCTTTTTTGATTTCTTCAATTAAAGATTGGTAAATTTCAAAATATTTAAATTCAAATAAATTGTGCGCATACGTGTAGACTTTATCCTAAACTTTAGTTCATATCTAACTTTTGATTAATGATAATCTGAATAATCTTGGTTAACCAAACAGTAAAGATAAAAATAACGAATATTTGCTACACCAGTTTTTTTTTCTATATATTCAATTGAAAATTAATTGTTACACTGCATAAATTATTGAATTGTTACATTTGATCTGCAACAGTGTGTCCACTCTCATTTACATGAAATGTCAAAATTTTTTTTCGTGATATGAAATATAATTACTCTAGGTAACTTTGTTTCTTATAAAAAGGCAGCGATTTCGATTTAGTCTTATCAATAATTTTATTCTCACAAATAAAATTTATTCTCACAAATAAAATTATATTCTCAAATAAAATTATATTCTCACAAATAAAACCCATCTTCACAAATAAAATTTTTATACAAATAAAAAAAAGAAATCATGAAGTTTATTTTTGCTTTCCTCTTATTTGCTACGCTCTCCATGGTGGTAAATGCTATTCCACATCAACTTCTTAAAAGAGCTCCTTCAATATTTTTTCAATGTCCTGCAATAAAAGCTGGACAAGTAGCACCACCTCAACTTACTGTCGCACTTTCACCTGATCCTCCCGTTCCTGGACAAGTTGATACTTTTAGTATTTCTGGAACACTAAGTCGTCCTGTCGCCAATGGCGACTTTACCGTTGCTGGTTTTTATGATCCTGCAACTAAGAGTATGGTAGGTGATATAAATGCTGCGCCAGCCAGCCCTACAACACCATTTTCTCAAGTATTGAGTGTTAATGTACCAGCAGCATTACCTGCACAATACCTTATTCTAGTTATGGTTGCGAATCCAAAAACTGAGGATATTATAGGCTGTGCAGGCGCTATGGTTGGTGGT